CCTTGTTATTAGATTAGTGTAACCATTGAAATATCACATTCTTATATCACGTAGATCAGCTAAAATCAGCCCATATGTGTATTATGTTATCATTTTCAGATTAGATAAGTGATATCGTTATCTGAAAACCTAATTTTGGAAATCATTTTACCGATACAGATGATCTCGATCTATTGGTAAATTATAAAATTGCACTAATCGCTGTTGAAAACAATTCTTTAATTCGATATCATGTACAAAGACGAAGAATCTAGCAAAATTAAAAAGTGAGTATTAATTTTAAATAACTGTTGTGAATTTTTGAAAAATAACCACTTTGGAATACTGAGTCTTATATTCAATTTTTATAAGAGACAACGAACTTGTTTTGACAGACAAAAAGTCGGGTGTGTCATGGATTTTGCCTACTCCCACTAAGGCAGATGGAAAAGTACAAGCGCAGCCAACGTCTGTTGTTGTTTTGCCAAGAAGGTAAAAATAAATAAATATTAAAATAAAAAAATTATATATTTTGTTAATAGAATAACGATCCGAATTTTCACGTATACTTATTATTGATCCTAATATTATCCACACCTTTTTTTGTTCAGTACCAACACACAGTCCTTGACAGTGTTAGACAATCGAACTAATAAACTTTATGAAATTCCAATAACAAATAATACAATATCTGCCCTTAAATTTAAGGAAATACGAGCCGATCCATTACCAGGCTCCCGTGAAGAAGATGAAAGTGGAAAAGGATTGAGGTTCGTTATTGAGTTAATATATCTGCAAACGTTTATTGGTATTCCAATTTAACTTAATATTTCATTTGATACAGAGTATATGATCCAGGTAAATAGCTTTCTGTTTTTAATTATATTTTTCATGCGTTAAAAACCTTCGCTTGATATTACAAATTTAGCATTCCAAAACACTGCTGTCGCATATTCCAAGATTACATACATTAATGGTGACACTGGAGCTCTACGTTACCGGTAAGATGATATGGATAATAACTATTTGTGTATTTATGTATATAATAATACTTATATTTGTGATTGTTTTCTCAAGTGGTTACCCGATTGAACAGCTGGCAGAGAAATCTACATACCTTGAAGTTGCTTATCTTCTTATTTATGGTGAACTTCCATCCAAACAACAGCACGCATATTTCTCTCATGAAATTATGCATCATACATTTGTACATTTCAACGTATCTGAATTAATGCGCAAATTCAATTACGACGCTCATCCAATGGGAATGTTTATCAGCGGCATTTCTGCAATGAGTACTTTTCACCCGGATGCTAATCCGGCCTTAGCTGTAAGTGTTATTTTATTAATATCATGTGCTTATTATCGTTTATTATTTGCTACATTAAAATGCACTTCTAACTTATCAAACAGGGGTCTGATCTGTTTGTTCGAGATGAAAGAATTAGGAACAAACAAATATATAGACTTCTGGGTAAAACACCAACATTGGCCGCGTAAGTTTTCCTTTTTTTTTTTTTTTTTATTGTTATTTTCGTGCCAAAAATTTTAACTTGTTTTCTTTTTGGTACTAAATAGCATCGCTTATCGCCATCGCATCGGTCGGTAAGTTGAAATTGCATTGGTGATAAAATTCATATCAACCACTTAAAAAATATTCAGTTTTATTTCTTTGATAATTATATAGAAGTTACAATGTTCCCCAAAACAATCTTTCTTATACAGAAAATTTTTTATATATGCTTGATCAGTTGACCGAAAAAAATTATAAACCAAACCCAAAATTGGCCAGGGCTCTTGATGTTTTATTTATTCTTCATGCAGGTAAGAATAATAATACTTAATATTTATCGATATTGGTATTTTAACAATTTTATTTCTTTTAGATCATGAACTTAATTGCTCAACGGCAGCGATGCGTCACATTGGTTCATCACTTGTCGATCCTTATAGCGCTGTATCGGGAGCTGCGGCTGCCTTATATGGTCCGCTCCATGGTGGTGCTAATGAAGCTGTATTGAGAATGTTAGAGGCAATTGGCTCGGTCGATAATATACCAACATTCATTCAAGAAGTTAAACAAAGAAAAAGAAAATTATTTGGTTTTGGGCATAGAATCTACAAGAATTATGATCCAAGAGCAAAAATTATTAGAAAAATTGCTTATGAGGTAATAAACTTCATGTTGAATATTTGGGCTAGGTGCTGTGAAGAGGAACCAAATTGACAAATTTTTTTTTTTTTTTTTTTGAGCTTAAATGCTATTATTTTAATAAAATTTTGTAGTATAGCTTTTTAATGTTTGTATTTTGTTATAATTGTTATAATTTTTATAGAATTTATAATAT